GTCTAAGCTCCAAGTTATGGGCATCATACCGAAACTTAATTTTATCATACAGATAGTCAGGACATCTTTTACAAATCAATTTGTTAAACAGAACCAAACTATGTAGTGCGCGTCTTTCATTCATTCTTAGCCATTTAATTTCGCACAACTTGGCACTCACACCCCTCTCACAGCCCCTAATACCACCTATCAACCTGACACACGAATTCTGCATGAGCTGAATTCTTCTGGCATCGGAAAACAGTTGACAGGGTCCGTACAGTACATCGCAGTAGTTAAAGTGAGATGAGACAATGGAGTCGCATAACACTTTCCTAAGATTCTCATTAAGCAGGGCTCGTTGGTTAAATATCAGTTTGAGGTTGGCAAAAGCCCTCTTGACCCAGATTTTTTGCCGTACCACATGCACTTAAAACCAGGTTGCCAAGTCTTATTTTTAAAAGATTCAGGCTTTGTTCACGGCTCCGGATCCGGCCAAACAGCAGAACCTGCGACTTATTGGGATTTATTTCTAGGCAGTGCGCTTCTGAGTCCCTCTTAAGCGCATTCAGATCGTGCGTCAGTCTGTCGTTGGCTATCATTATTTGATCAGGCTTGAATGAGAGATAAAGCTGTGTGTCGTCAGCATAGCAGTGTACAGTCGAGTATCGCAGACATGTGATAAGCTGCGATGTATAGAGGGAGAAAAATAGTGGCCCAAGGATAGAACCCTGAGGTACACCACAAGTCATCTCCACAGGCCGCGATATCTTGCCATTAAGCCTGACGATTTGGTTTCGTCCAGTGAGGTATGACCCAATAAGAAAGTTGAGGCATTGTCAAATCCCAGATAGTGAAGTATGCCCAAGAAAGATAGTAGTTCAGGGTCTCTGGACTCGGATCGCCAGACTGAGCGGCACATGCAAAAAACTCATTGATATCGTCGGCATTCCCCAAGTTTTCAGGCACCACCCTCTTAGCTTTCGAATGAATATCGAGTTCCCTTAGCAGGTTCCAGTTCTCATTTGGCCCATTGTTTTGAATATTTGTTTCAAGATATGCCCTTTTTCCCCTGTCAATAGCTATACTAACTGTATTTCTCGGATGTCTATAAGTCTCCCAGGCAGTAGCAGTTTGATTTCTTTTATATTTTGTTAAAGCTCTATCTCGAAGAGACATAAGATTCTTCAAGTCAGTGGTTAGCCAGGGACCCCTATTTTTAGTAATTCGGGACGTTTTTATTGGTGCATGCAAATTAAAAAGTTCCAAAAGACAGAAATTAAAAGCATTCACTTTTAGTTCGATATTAGGCAGATAATAAATATCCTCGAACTGTATACTTTGGAGATCCCTACAGAAAGCCGCACGATCAAAATTCCTATAGTCCCGATAAGTCGCAAAGAAGGGCTGCAGCTTAAAAGTATCAAGTATTAGTTGACAAGTTATCAGTGGTCAGAGCCATCAAAAGTGAGATCGACCCCAGAACTCTGAACCAGGTCCATATTAGAACACAAGATTAAATCAATAAGCGTAGCACTATTTGCCCCCCGTCTTGTAGGCTCATCAACAACCTGAGTTAGGTTATATGCTGCCAAAGGCATCAAAAAGCGTTGTGTATGTACACAATCCAAATTCAACATGTTTAGATTGAAATCACCAGTGCAAATCAGGTTGTTACAGGTTAATAGGTTTTTACTTATATTATTCTCAAACTCCTCGAAAAAATCGTGCATATTAACATAGCCAGGACGTCTATAAATAACGCCAAAAATCGTTTTTATTTTTTTAATTTTAAACTCTATCCAGACCTGCTCTGCATAGTCAGATTTGATATTAGGTATTACGTTGAATTTAATGCTATCCCGAACATATAGCAGTGCAGCAGTACACCGCCGCCACGACCGTCACCAGGATCCTTCCTCACGAGCCTTGAAGCCCTCGAAACTTACCACCCCATCAGGGGTCATATTTGTAAGCCAAGATTCCGAAACGGAAAAGATATCTATGTGATTATTTAAAATATAGTCCTTAATTCTATTCAATTTTGGAACGATTGACCTGATGTTTATGTGAGCTATCCTGAGTTTATTACTCAAATGATTTTTATTGATTCTATTCAGAGTCATTTTTGAAATTCAAAATATATCTGTAACATATTGGGATAAAGATAAAAAAAAAATATAATTAAACAAAGAGGAAAGCTAGACATTTGTTTTTAAACTATCCACTTGTCCCGATGTAATTATGCGAATCACAGGGGCACCTTCAGCCTTTCTGGCTAAAATGTTGTCATCTTTGCACCAGACGTATTTAAAGCCAGCTCTCCTTAGTTCAGTCGCTTTTCTAAACAGCTCACGGGTATGTTTGGACAGGTCCTGATTGATGAAAATTCGTCTGTTGGTATCAGCTCGAATATCACACTTATCAGTATCTAGAGAGGTGTTTTTTCTTAGGTTCAATAATGTGTTTCTGCCTTCACCATGAGCGAAGGTCACAAGCACAGGCTTTCTGGATTGTTTGCTGCGTAAGGATTTTACACTATAGTCATTTTCAGAAATATTGGCTTTCAATGCTGAAAACACCTTCTTGACCTCGTTAGATGCATTATCACCCCCCGCTAATCCAACAATTACAATATTCTTGTTTCTCTCCTCCTCGACGTCTCTCTTCGCACTCCTGATATGTATAATCTCGTTCTCTAGTTCAACCACCCTATTTTTCAGCAGCAATTGTTCTTTCTTTAGCAATTTGTTCTCATTTGTGAGAGTTTTCATACTTTCTTTCATCTGCTCCATCATATTGCCATTGAACGCTATTGAGTTTTTTTAACTCTTCATACATGCCTTTGATAGCCCTCATAAGCTGCTTGTTGCTAGGGTTAGGGTGGTCGAAAAGACCATCAAGTCCCGCTACTGTAGCAGTGCTCAGTCTCTGGGATCTAACAGGTACCAGAGGTTCATCACTTTCTTCAGGCTCCGAGTCACTAGTCTCAACGTTGATAGAACATGTGACACAGCACCATTTTTCACCTGTTCTACGTAGTTCGAAAGCAGTAAACTCCTCATCTGTCAATCCAGAGCAGGACTTGTGGAACCATTCCTTGCAGCACATTGAATTTTGTTTTGAGTTTTTGTAACATTGCCTTTACATTTGGGACAAGTTAGTGACCTTTTCTTTCTGTTTCCTGCCATTATTCAGCCCAGGTTTATATTTTTAAAAAAAGGAAATATACATATATGTAGGTATATAGAAAGATAAAAGTTCAATATTGATGTGAAAGAATAACTACAATACGGTCCTGTACTGTAGAATATCCTCTATCAGCTAATTTGCATAGGCTCAACAAAACACCAATGACGAGAAAAAAAAAACGAACCTAGCACACTCGCAAAAAAAGGGTATTTACACTGTAGGTTATTTTGCAATGTTTTAAAATTATTTCACCTACTTAATTGCTTCCTTAATACATAATACTCGTCTGAGATTTCTGTCCCATTAAAACTATGATGCCCTCCTGCATCCACTAGTATAACTTTCACTACTATAACCGGATTATAACCCAGTCAAAAACGCACTTTTATGGGAGGACACACACACGCACATCATACAAAAACTCCTTGACTTGAAAAGTTAACTTCGATAATCGTTTATCGTTAAATTTTTGAGAATATAACGCAAGTTAAAGTTATCCGTTAAGAGTTAATTATCGAAAAGTTATGCCGATGTTTGAAGCTAATTATAAGTAATAGATACTTGAAATAGAATAGGCTGGGCTAGGGTATAGTAGGTATTTTTAATACCTATTTGGAAGTATCAGTCGTTTTAGATTGGTTGGTAATTTTCTGTTTCATCTGATTCATGATTGATGAACAAGGATGGTGTTATTCCCAATGGGTACTAAAAATATTATACCTACACTCCTACACAGGTGAATCTGAATAAAATAAAAAGTATCTAGATCTAAAAAGCGGCACTATTTCCAATTTAGGTAGCTGATTTATTTATCATTCACCTCTGCATGAAAAAGGAGCTTATAGAACAATGCAGACAACGGCACAGCCCAACGATATGCCTCAGCTCACAGCCTACCTCACAACAGAAATAAGGGCTTGCGCATCGATCTCACTAAACGGAATCGGGTTTGGAGTCATTCCAGAACAGTTCCAAACTGCGTAGTGTAGCGAACTGAAATCTTCCTACGCCTGTGCGAACTGTTTCGATTAACCTTGACGCGCAATTCAAGCCAAAAAAATGACGTCATTTACCAATGTAACGGACTAAAGTTAACGGAAGTCCAATGTAACGGAAGTTAAGAAAACCGTTAATATTTTTTAGGTTAACTTAAAAGTTAAATTTAAGCAATTTTTTTAACTTCGTTAATTAACGGATAACGGATTACCGGTTTTCTGCCCAGCTTTGGGACTTTCCATTTATACTGAGCTTATGTGCCAAAAAAGAATATCATTCAAGTTTTCTTGTTAATGTTACAAAACATTTCTGAGGTTTTCCAAGTTTGTTATTCTTATTTTTCTCTCTGATGAAGTATTTTGTACGATAAAATCTATTTTTTGAAAAAAAATGGGTAAAATCTTATTTGAAAATGAAAAAAAAAAAAATACCTATATATAATTTCTATCCGAGGAGTTCATTTCTGGGGTTACTTTGTCAGTCTAGCCATTTATACGCGTTTTAAAAGCATTTTTAACAGGGTGACAAAGTAGCCCCAAACACGGGGCTACTTTGTCACCCTATTCCCTATTTTTTTATTTATTCCCTAGGGATGCTAGGCAACTGGTTTTTTGGCTACGCATACACAATGGTAACGTCGGTATACTTGATTTTTTTCAAGTCAAAAATCGAAAAAACAAGAAAGTTACAGAGTAAAATATGTCCTAAAGGTGACAAAGTAGCCCCGTTTTACGGTATTTCATAATTTGAACATAGATTTTCTGAGTGTGGTCAATGAGTACAAATTAAAGGCAAAAATGCATGGTTTTCTGATATATTATTCTTTTTTTTAGGTGAAAATGTACAACATCAAACTAAACACGTCCATTGTCGTGTTATTTCTGGTTTTGTTGACCAACGCATCTCGAGTTTCAGAAGATCACATTCTTTGTGCCTATTTAGAGGGCACCATCGAACACCTAACTGAAGATGACATAGAAGCAACAGAACAGGACGAAGCTGCAGCTTCTGAACAACCATACAGAAAATGCTATAACAGTTATTGTTATACTTTGTGGCAAGAAGATGGCACAAACCATTCGGTTATTATGGGACAAGGTTAGACAAAATATATTCACCTACCATTCCCACTTAACTAAGTATTACTTGAAAACAGTGTTGCTCGTACTATTAATTTGTATTGAATCATTGAAATGGAGCACCAGATGCTCAAGCAAAAACATAATCCATTTGAATAGCCTTTAAGAAAACATTCTTTATTTTTGTAATTGGTTTGTTGTCAACCACTTAAGTAAGCAAGTGGTTCACTTCAATAAATAAGTGATTGCTCTGTTTTGCTTCTTTCTTGTCTTGGCAAAGATGAATGAACAATAATTGTTAAATGGGATTTGATTTTTTTACCTAACTTGTATTTTATTCAATTGGGGGTAATAATAATTCAATAATTCAAGTAATAAGTATATTAGTACAGTAAATAGAGACAAATAAATCGCATTTACTAAAAAAAAATACTTAATGGCTGAAATTTTGAAGGTGTGTTCGGGGGCATGTCCTGAATCTAAAACTGAGTTTTCGTATTCGAGGGGGTGGGGGAAGATACTACCCCCTCTTTATGTAGGGTTGAGTTCGTTTTAATTCCCCATCTCCGGTGCTATTGCCCGTACCTTCAAGTCCGAGAGATCAAATTTATGGGAAATAAAATTATCTTTCTAATGATAATAAAATCAAGGTCATAGGACGATTAGGTGAATCACAATGGCCGGTCAAAGGTCAAAAGTGGGGGGTAGTTTTTGTTTTTTTGTGAATACCGTGAAACCGGTAGGTTTTTTCGCATACTGCTTAGATACCATTTCGAAGTATTCGAAATTACCTACAAAATGAGTGCTCAAACACTCATCTACTGTGAATAGTTTGCCGTCAATCCAACGACCAAGTTGACCGCGCGCGCTTAGGAAGCGTCAGAGCAAAAAACGCCTAGAGACATTTTCGACGTATTTCTTCCTCCTCTATCCGATGAAAATTTTAATTTTTCAAAATTCGTGAAAATAAATGCAAAACGCGTATACTCCATTCTACGCCCTTTCTCAAAATTTGGAGATAGGGGCTAAAACCTTTCCTATACCTATATCGTAGAGAGCTGAAACTTGAAATTTAACCTTTTTTAAACCCCTTTTACCTACACTTTAAATTTCATCCAAATCGACCGAAAAAAAATTTTTAGGGGCCCTCTAGGGGACTTTCAAGATAGGGGTTTTTCGTATTTTTTTTTTCCAATAGAGGACCCGTTTCACTATATACATACCAAATTTCAACTCGATCGGACCAGCGGTTCGGCCTCGGCGAATTTTTGATAATTAATTTTTACCATCGATGGGGGGGGGCTAAATACATCACTGCTTTGGGCTGAAAGCCGTCGGGACGTCATTTTTAGATCGCAAAGGGGGCCGTTCTCGAGATATTGAGTTTTTCATGTTTTTCGCCCCTCCAAAATTTTTTAAAAATTCGTCCCCCCATCCATTCGTAAGAGGAACTTTTTCTCTACTTCCCCTGAAAATTTCATTCCCCCCCCCCCCCCCCGTTTGGGCTGTATAGGGGTCGAAAGTCAAAACTTTGACAGCCCCCCCAGGGTCCCCCAGGGGAGGGGGGGGAAGAAATTTGTTTTGACTCGACAAAATTAAAAGTTCTAAGTCCCCTGAAAATTTCAACTTTCTAGCTTATCGGGAAGTACAACATCGGCGCAGACGGTCAACTTGGTCGTTGGATTGACGGCAAACTATTCACAGTAGATGAGTGTTTGAGCCTGTTTGAGCACTCATTTTGTAGGTAATTTCAAGTACTTCGACATGGTATTTAAGCAGTATGCGAAAAAACCTACCGATTTCACGGTATTTACGAAAAACCAAAAACTACCCCCCACTTTTGACCTTTGACCGGCCATTGTGATTCACCTAATCGTCCTATGACCTTGATTTTATTATCATTAGAGAGATAATTTTATTTCCCACAAATTTGATCTCTCGGATTTGACGGTACGGGCAATAGCACCGGAGATGAGGAATTAAAACGAACTCAACCCTACATAAAGAGGGGGTAGTATCTTCCCCCACCCGCCCGAACACACCCTCAAAAATTCAGCCATTAAGTATTTTTTTTTAGTAAAATATCCCTCTTTACTGTACTATATTCCTTCCAACTTTATTTGGCATTTCGTCCTCCTTGGAAAATTGGCCTGTTGACCAGTATGACAAAGCTATCGGGTCTTCAAAAAAAAAACCAATCAAAGATTGCTTTGGTTACGAAAACGTACGTCGCATTATTGTTTTTTTATTGGTCAGGATTTTTGACATAACATTTTGACATTTAAGTTCAATGACAAAAGTAAAGAAAAATAATGCTGACATACGTTTTAAAAACCATAGCAATCTTTGATTGGTTTTTTTTTTTCACACGCTGAAATAAAAATGACACTTTCGCCAAATTTTTGTTCTGCTAGCGACTCTAAAGTGCATTCAGCATACGTTCCAAAAGTTTTCGTTAATTATAACCTTAAATAATATTTTTTTAACAAAAAAAAATGCGAATATACTTAGTTATTTCGCAGTCGTAGAAAAAGTATAGTGTGTAACATGTGTGAAAAGCACTTTTCAACACTTGTTGCACAATATGCTATTTCACACTCGCTCGACTTGTGGAACTCGCTTACGGCTCGGTCCAACAAACTGTGTCAGTCGTCCAAAAAAGTTTTCAAAACAAGTTGTTTTAAATAACTATTCATTTATTTGAAATAAAATAAATCAAACGTAACCATAAGAGCTTAACAGCATGTATATGTTTTTCTGGTATATTAATTAGTCCAATAGTTGCTATGGAATCAAATATGTAGTAGATACAGTACAAGTATTATCCGCACCTAACATGCAAATATCACTTTTATAATATTTTTGCGTCATATTGTACTGTTATTTCACTATAACATGAGCAAAATTGAAATTGAAAAGGTGTATTTTTGAAATTAAAATAACGGCCGTCCAACATACCCCTACCCCTATAGGAGTGTTTTTTTTTGTTGGTCAGATTGAAAGATATCTGACTGCAGCATAACGAAAAATTTAGAACGAAACATGGCCGATAACTACAAAAAACAGCCTTAGCTGATTATGACACAAACTTCAGCACGGCCGTTATTTGCTATTTACCGGCTTTATTACGTTTATAACTAGAATATTTGTATTATAAGGAAAATATTCAAAATTCATTATTGAACTTGTTTCCTAAGTTTTAAAAATCAACTAGCAAGTAATAAAAAATAAAAATTCTTGAGCATATACTATGATAATTTTCAGGTTGCTGGGCTCAATCAGGAACACCAAACGACTGCGATAAAACAGCTTGCCAAGCGGACAAAGCAACACCTGCTGCTAGAAACAATACAAAATTTTGCTGCTGCTCGGACAGTATGTGTAACGTAAATTTCACAGACATCTACGTTCCCTCGGAACAGCAACAAACTACACCAGTGCCTATTAAAAAAGATCACAGTATGAGTATTATTGTTTGGACTGTTTTAGGCGCGGTCTTTGTATGCTTTATGATTATAGTGGGTTTGTGTATGTATCATTTTTGGAAGAAGGCTCCAAAGAAAAGCGATATTGAAACTGGACGTCCTTTGCCTCCACTTCCAGATTATAGTTTGGATAAGTTGAAGCTTGTTAATATAATAGGGCAAGGCAAATATGGTTCTGTATGGAGAGGCGTTATAGATGAACAAGAAGTAGCTGTAAAAATATTCCCAGGCCATTACAGAAACGTTTTCTATAGTGAACACGAAATCTACAAAATTGTTGGCGATCATCCTTGCATTTTAAAATGTTTTGGAGGAGGAGAGTATGCTCGTGTATTAGGCCATCCTGAATTTGCACTACTTCTTAATATTGAGCAACAAAGTTTACAAGAACACCTGAAAAATCACACTCTAGATTTGCCTACTTTGAGTAGAATGTGCTTGGATATCGCCAAAGGCTTGTCACATTTGCATAGTGACGTCGAAAAGCCTTGTGTTGCGCACAGAGATTTAAATTCCAAGAATATTTTAGTCAGGGGCGACTTGTCTTGTTGTATTTGCGATTTGGGACTGGCTATTATACCTAGATGTGCTGAAAGTAAGGCTCTAAGTGAAGCCGGAACGTTGAGGTACATGTCACCAGAAGTTTTGGAGGGTGCCGTTAATCTTCGTGATTGTGAAAGTGCCCTTAAACAAACAGATGTTTATGCTTTGGGGTTGGTATTGTGGGAAATCGGAGTTAGGTGTAGTGATATGCAGAACGCTGAGCCTATGCCATATTTGCCGCCTTTTTATAAGGAAACTGGTGAGTCTATTGGAACTTATCCTCTTAGATAGAAATTTCATGTGTACTCTGCAAAGTTTCAGTGTATCAAAACATGAGATTATTATCTAATATCATAAATGGGCTCTTTCACTAATTTTTGAAATTGGCATAATTGGATAAAGCAGCTAAAAATAAAAATTTTTGCACTCTTACTTTTGAAAAACTTGAGTTTCTTTTTGAGAAAAAAAATGAAAATACGGAATTTTTACTTAGGAATTCAAGAGTTTATAGTATTTTTTTTTTTTAAATTGCTTCATCATACACAATTTAAATTTATTTTTTGTCATCAGCTTTATTTTTTTTTGTCTCACGTCGCACTATATTGAGAAACAACTGTCAACAGCACAATCAAACCTTCAAACAGCGGTAGCCGGAATAGCTGTTTGTGCTTTGTGACTAGGCCCTCTTCTAAAATTTGATTGGTATGATGTTTATACGTCATCGTCTGGCGCGTTTTGATGATTTAAAATTTTTCCAGTTTTGAAGTGCCTGTAATGTCTGCCCAGCGACTCTGTGTCTACGGGGCAACGGTGAGGGGAATGCAGTTGTAAATAAAAATGGCTGATTTCATTCATAAAATACTCAGCTGCGTGCGAAACTTTTGGAAAATGTTGTCATATTGCAACTCGTATACGAAAATCGACAATGATCAAACCTCCGCCACTGGGGAGGATAAAATGACGTGAACCCTGGCCAATAGCGAGACGTAAGGTGACGTTGGCTCATTGACAACCGTATGGTTCCCCATGGCAACGGCGATCCTGCCAAAAACTCCACCAATCAGGTTCATCCAGTCCGGATGCTTGCCAAATTGTCAAAAGCTGATGGTGTCTTTAGAAAATGTTTATTTTTTACAATAGACCAAATTGAAGAAATTAGGATTAAAATAAGAATAGATCTAAGAACCACGATAAAATATTCAACGTTTTATTATTGTTATCAATATTTTGTTATTAAAAAATGGATTTTCAAATGAACTATACTTCATGCCTAGTATTATCGCTTTTTAATAATTAAGCGTGACAACATGGCACATTTATGTCCAAATTCCTTCCGTAGACTCAGATCCGCTGGGCAAACAATAGAAACTCATTTAAACTCTTAGATCATTTTTTTTTTTTGGCAAATATAGTCCCCTTACGTTTAAGATGTTATGCTTAAATTACGTATTTAAATTTCAGTGAAAGAGTCGATTTTGCAAAGTATCTGTACTTCAAAAAAGGGTTTTTGAATTGCAATTTAGAAGATATAGCTAGTAGAGATGTTTTCAGATCTGAAGGAGCTCTACCGCCCACAGTTACTTTTCTCTATCTTTTGTCGCTATTTCTATGTTTTATTATGCCTGTATCTCGGTCTGTATGTTATATCACACAATTTGAAATTAGTCATATTTATTATCAGGAGAAAATCCAACCTTGGAACAAATGCAAAACCTGGTGAGTCGCCGAAAAGTTAGACCGTTATGGCCAGTGTCTTGGAAAGATTCAGCAGCTGCCAGGCTGTTATGTGAAACTGCTGAAGATTGCTGGGATCAAGTAATATTTTCTATTTTTTTTTGTATCACTTTGTAATAAATTTGTTTTCTAGGATGCAGAGGCTCGCCTAACAGCCCTTTGCGTAGTAGAACGCTTTCTGGATTTACCAAATATGAAAGGACGAGTTTTACATCCCATGCATCCACCAGCTAGTCCCACTCCTCTGATTAATAATAATAATTTGCATGATAATCCTGTGGATATGTCGGGAGCTACTATTGAGACACTTTTGTCGCCTACAGCTGAAGAATATTGTAAAAACTCCAATCAATTGGCTACATGTATTATGCCTTTGCAACCACATCAAGGTAACAAATTTATCTATTTTCTTATGAATTTATCAATTTTGTCTAAATATTTCAGGAAGAAATCCTTGCCTAGAAAGAAATCTATTGTCTGGTTCTAGTGATAGCCTGCTAATAGACAAATCATCAAAACATTGCACATCCTCTGAATCCCAAAACCTCTTCACCAACGAATTTTTACACTATCAAATCAATAATAGGGCCAATCCTATCCCATACGTGCAAAACCCTGTCTATGGTCTGCCTAAGCAACAAAACATGCCACAACCTGCCCCTATGAGTCAGAACCAGCGTAAAAAGTTCAAATGGAGCAATTTCAAGAAATTGTTGCATTCTAAAAAGCATATGGATAGCAGGAGTGGTCAGAAGGAGACTCAAGTTACACTAAAAACAAAAAATGTTAATGGGATAGGTAAGAATTGTGTTTCATATCTTGTATTTTTTTGTAAATTTGAACAGAACCTACCTATTTATTATAAATATCCCAAAATATTTATCTATTATTCATCTAGGGGGTCAGCCAAGTGTTACAACAGCTCTTCTAGGAGACTTTGAAGTTAAACGCCCATGTACTTTAGGTCTGTCCATTGCGAAACCCCAAGAATTCACTAACAATAGTGGAGTAGCACAGATGATCAAGCGGCAAAATAGTTTGTCGAGGCAGAGGTCATTGGAACAATTCACTGATGTAAGTGGTTATGGTTTTAGTAAAGTGACTTTCTGACAATAAAATCAGGAAAAATATTCCACACTAAATTTTAAAAAAATATATGTATACAGGGTGAGTTACTAAGCGCGCGGTGGTCCATATCTTCTATACTAACGGAGATCGAAGAAAAAATTAAATACAAAACATTTCATATACAATGTCATATACCTATATTCAACTGTTTCGGAAATATTGACAGTTGAAAATTGACTTTTTTCATCTTTGACAGACTGTAAAACCTGATAGGGTTAATTTTACAAGAAAATGGATTTTACATTCCTATCTTAGTTTTTCATAAATTATCATTTGATACCAATCTTGAATTTAATCCATGATTAAAAATTCCGCCTAAATTATTAATCTTCGCTTAAATTCAAAGTTGGTGTCAAATGATAGCTTATGAAAATCTAAGATAGGAATGTAAAGTCCGTTTTCTTGTCAAATTCACCGTTCAGGTTTTACAGTCTGTCAAAGATGCAAAAAAGTCAATTTACAAGTGTCAATATTTCCGAAACAGTTGAAGATAGGTATATGACATTGTACAGGGTGTCCCATTTAAGATGGTATTGGGGGTTATCTGCTAAACTCGTAGAGATAGATTTTTTTTGATTTCACATTCCTGGGCCAATTTTTTATGACGGATCGAATGCCGCAAGCCCCAAGTCTCTATCTTGTGCCGTTTTGGCGAGACAGGGTGAAACTTGAAATTTCCACTTTTCGACGGTTGTCATTATCTCGCGTAAGAAAAAAGATATCAAAAAGATGGAAATTGTATCTGACGCAGTTTTTTATGTAGATTTTATTGACGTACTGGATATTTTTTTTCGAGGTACCGTTCAAAAAATATGACACAAATTTCATCTTTTTTAAATGGGACACCCTGTAAATTTTTCCATTTTTCGAATACGCATAAAATTACCTTTTCTATGATATATAATTTGTTTATATTCATTTGTGATTTGCCAATTTTATTATTTATTTTATTATGGTATTTAAAAAATTTCGAAATCACATTAAATATTTGGTTTTATTTTCTGGTTTAATATGTGATATGACAAACTTATAATTTTTAGATATAGGATACCCTGTAAAATAATAGTTTACTATTATAAATATTTTCCCATTTCAACTTTGCTTTAACGTCAAGAGAAAATATAGTGAAATTATTTAAACAGTGTATGCACGTGATCAATGACGTCGAAATTATTGCCAATTGCAGTTTGTAAGAAATTAAAATTCGTTTCAAGCTGAGAGCTCATTCTCCTTTTTATTTAACCTTAGTTAAAAAAAGACAGAACACTGTTGGCATTTATCCGAATCGGCCGATAAAATGACATTTAGATTGGCACTCATGGGTTATGTTGCCAAATATTGCTGCAAATCTGTGGTTACTGATTTTATTAATTTGAAATTATTTCTATTTGTGTATCTATAAAATGCCAAAGTCATTGAATACTCAGAGTCAGAAACTCGTTGCGTCTCTAATTAGTTTCTTTGAACAGGAACGAGATAATAGGGGCACCTTTTTGCCATTAAATAGCGTTAGAGAGGTGAAGTATATTGATACTATCAAATATAAATCTTCTGGGGCTTTAATTGGGAATATTTTTCCAGCGTGTTGCAGCTGCACTGAATATTGTTATAACCACTGTGAGTAAAATCCAATGTAAAATCTCTCAAAAAGTTAGGGATAATTTAGCGTTAAATTCACCAAAGAAAAAACGTCCACATAAGAAGCGGGTTACGAATCAAGATCGCCTTGATGTTAGCTCTATTCGCAATTAAATTTACGACGAAAAGTGAGTAGTTTTTTTAGATTGTGTTCATAATACACTATCTATGCATATAAAAATTGATGTTTGTTTGCTTTAGTCATAACAAATTTTATTAGACATGGTATGTCAAAGTAAAACGAAAGTTAATAGCGGCAACATTGCGACGTGCTTATGTCATTAATTTTGATCACGTGCATACACTGTTTAATTAATTTCACTATAGTTGATTGTAAGGAAAACTGATGTCATTTTGGATTAACCGGTACAGCAAATATCATAAAATAGGAAATAATTGAGTATCTTACTAATCCTTGGTAACTGAATTTAAATTTAATAGTCTATTGACAATATAATATTTGGTACGGTTAAATCCCCGGAAAATTAGAATTATTATAATAGGAAATGATACAAAACAACGTGTATTTGTCATTGATTTTCTATATTTTCTAACCATCTCAAAAACAAATTGAATTTAAACACAAAACAAACTAAACTAAACCATCCAAACAAAATAGTTATTTATGCAACAAGTGTGTAAAGTAAACCTTTTTTCACGAATGTGAATTTTGACGCACGAGCCGAAGGCGAGTGCGACAATCACATGAGTGAAAAAAGGTGCTTTACGCACGTATTGTATACAAAATTTTTTCTACTACCAATCAAATATGTGTCAAAAAATAGATTTAGACAAATACTTTAAACACTAGTGCGTGAAGTATTTTCACTTTACGCACTAGTGCGTGAAGTAATTTACCAGAAAAATACTAAATTGACAGTGTCAACATCTGTCATTGACATTACTTTACGAACTAGTGTGTGAAGTGAATTACTTTACGCACTAGTGCGTGAAGTGAAATTTTATGTCTTCTAAATAGTGCGTAAAGTGGGTACTTTACGCACGGTAGTAGAAAAAAGTATTAACATCAACAAACTGTAACTACTAACAAATTTAAAAAACAAAGGAAAACATGGATGAAAACTAACTATAAAAAAATTTCAAACTGTTCAGTTTAATTTGGTCTAGTAAAAATGAATGTTTATCAAAATTTGGAAAGGCTGATAATATGCTTAACACTTATTATAAAGCAGGTAAAAATACTACTTTGGCTCTTCAGCAATATCAAATTAGATTGCCAGAAAAGCACATAAATAGAAAGATATTTAAGCGTCTCTTGAATAATTCAAGCAAACATGGCCAATTTTGTAAATCCAGATTGGGAAAGCAGAGCAACGAAGAAGATGAAATCAATGTTATTGGTTATATTTAGTTGCACATAGAAACGCTTCTTTCTTGTAGAGAAGTAGAACAGGCTGTTGGAGTACCTAAATCCAATGCCAGTGCCAGCAGGTATTTGAGAAAAAATCATTTTAAACCTTACGCGATCAGACTAAATCACTACCTAAATCCCACCAACCCACAAAGAAGGTTAAATTTTTGCCACTGGCATCTTGAAAAATATCACTTTAATGGTCCTTCAACAATTAATGGCATTTTTAATCGCCATAATAACCACCACTGGGACTCACAAAATCCACATGCTAACGCTATTATCAATAACCAAGGAAAACTTAGGTTTAATGTGTGGTGTGGACTTAAAGGGGACACAATTATTGTACCAGTAATTTATGAAGATAACTTGCGGAAAGATATGTGCGTTTTTTAGAAGACAACCCAGAACCGTTTCTGGACGAACTTGATGCTACGCTAGAGTCCGTTTTCAATCTAAAACCATTGCCTATATGATTTTGATTTATTACAGTTTTGTACTGCTTAAAATGCACGTCTTGTCGTTTTATAATGTTTCATATGGTTTCTGTTAACATTAGTAGTATGCAGTATGAACCTAAAATCGAAACCTTTAATTTTTTTAAACGTAACCAATGGATCTGTTATTTTATTCTGCTAGGAACCCATGAACCCATACCATGGCCAGCGCGGCCACCAGATATGTCGCCCCTTGGTTTTTTTTCGTGAGGATTCCTTAAATATATAATTTTTCAAGTGAGAAGCCAGAATTTGCAAGAGCTTCAAGAAGGAACTTGTCCATTTAGCTTTCACACAAGGATTCACGCGCGGAATGCAGTTAGAAGATGCAATGTTTGAACTGAAAATCCTGGCTGTTAATTTTAAATTTTTTTATAGTTAGTATCCATCGATTCCATTTATGTTTCCGTTGGTTTTTTCAAATTTGTTACTAGTTACAATTTGTTGATGTAATACATTTTTGTTTGGTTAGTTATAGGGGTTTTGTGTTTAAATTCAATTTGTTTTCAAGAAGATTACAAAATATGAAAAATCAATGACAAATACACGTTATTTTGTGTCATCATTTCCTATTATAATAATTCTAAATCTCCGCGGATTTCACTAAATCAAATGCTATATTAATCCAGGTATTCTTTCGATCTGAACAACTGATTGAAACCACTTGAGGTTTGTTTCAAACAATTGTCATCTGGTTTTACCACGATTTCATTGGCCCTGTTTTTTTGACGCCTCATAAACAAACCTGATATGATTACAGTCAGTTTGTTCAGATCGAAAAATACCTGTATTGTCAAAATAATGTAGACTATCAAATTCAGTTACCGAGCATTAGTAAGATATGTAATTATCTCTTTTATGATATTTGCTGTACTGGTTAATCCAAAGGGACACCAATTTTCCTTGCAATCAGATTTTTTGACGTTAAAGCAGAGGTAGTGGAAGTGGAAGTGGAATACCTATATCGTTGAAATGGGAAAAAATATATGATTCAAAAAACTATTATCTTACAGGGTGTCCCATATTAAAAAATTATAGGTTTGTTACATACTAAACCAGAAAATATAACCAAATATTTAATGTGATTTCGTAAGATTATTATGGAAAGTTTTTTGAATAGGTATCATAATAAAATTGGCAAATCACAAATGAATATAAACAAATTATATATCATTGAAAAGGCAATTTTATGCGTATTCGAAAAATGGAAAAATTTACAGGGTGTCACATTTAAAAAAGATGAAGTTTGTGACTTGAACGGTACCTCAAGAAAAAAAATCCAGTACGCCAATGAAATCTACGTAAAAGCCACTTGAGGTTTGTGTCATATCTCTTGAACGGTTCCTCGAGAAAAAAAAATCCAGTACGCCAATGAAATCTACGTAAAAAACTGCGTCGGATACAATTTTCATCTTAGTAGAGTTAAGACCACCGGCGTA